AAGCAAAAGTATGAAGCGCGTTGGTCTGCAGTAGGACATTATGAACATTTCATCTGCAGGACCATTTCTTTCCAAAAAAGTTTAATGAACACTGCACTGTGGCAGTAGATTCATCACCACAAATTAAGAAAAATGGCCACTGTATTCCCAGAAGGAAGCAAATCCAGTAGCGTCTGTGCGGGTCGCCCTGCTGGTTCAGGATTAATGGACTTCGGTTGTAGAAACTCCAGTATGTGTTTTCCCTCCAGAACTCCCTGTTGAAACGCAATATAAAGATTTAATTGTTGCAATTAATTACTGACTTTCAGCTACTGAGACATACTGAAGTGTTGAGAAATATTTTACCGTGTTTATTTTGTGTAACACACAGAAATTGAAAAAGATCCATACTTATATATATATATATATATATATATATATAAATTAGGGCCTTATCGATATTTGTCCCTGTTATTATACTGATTTTAAGGACCTAAAAATCAAATAACCAGTAACATCTTTAGATTTTAATTTAATACTCCAGTAGTTTTAGTTAAACAGTGCCTTACTGGCTGAACTGTGAGTTGTATGATGGTCACTTCTCCAAAATAACTTTTCTTAAACATACAGTCTTATATAATATAAATGCTTTAGCACTGGGGGTGGGTCTACCCAGAATTTTTTGAGGTTTTGTTTTTTGTTAATTACCTTCATAAAAAAATATTTTGTGTTATAACTTATCAGTCCTGGTAACTAATGCTAAAAGTGAGGTTTGAATACATTTTACATATTTACAGTAACTGGAGGAATACATTTGAAAATCAGTAGTTTACATGTTGGATGAATTGGACAAGCTAACACTACAGCTAACTGAGACAACACTAAATGTGAGAGGGTCTTTTCTTTTTAATAGACTTTGTTCCAGCATGTTAGTTTGCCAGAGAAACATTTTCACTGTTTTTGGACCTGCCTAACCTTAGCTGGAGCACTTAGCCTAGTAAGCAGTATAGCAGCGCTACATCTGCCTTTTTAATCCTTGACAACACACTCACATTCAGACACTTGCGTTTCAAAATGGCAAAGTGTAATATACATACAAATATGAGCAACAGTCATTTTTTACAGTCTGTGTTCAAACATAAAAGTGATGTTTTTTTGAATTGTTAGTCTGTACTGTCCATTTTCCTGTAATGAAATGGAACAGATACACAGGTTTTACCCTGTTGACAGAGATTGTGAGTTCCAGCCTTCAGGGATAAAACCCTGGGGATGTCAGTATCAACAGATATTGGCAGATGTACCAGTCAGGCTCCAATATAAATTATACATGAAAATGGTTCTCCTCATGTCATTCGAATATTTCATGTAGCCTACATTGTCTCTGAATTCAAATTGATACAATGTATAGTCACTTAGCTGGTGTAAACATGCAAATGCTGTAACTCACATTCATATCTTGAGCAAATAATACAGCAGAGAAAATTCCAAACATGCTGACTAAAATGTATTAAAAGTCTCATCTCATATGTAAGTAGTGACTCACTTTAAAGCCCTGTTGTTCTGTTTACTCAAATAGTTTAGGAAATCAGAGAGAGATGAAATTGCTCCTCTGAGCCGGAGTGTGATCCAACCTGTCTGTTATCATTAGCTGGAGCTCCAGGTGTTTCTGTTTGCCATCTGTTTGTCGGCCAGATGCCGTTTAAGAAAAGCTCATTTATTTCTCCTCTGTGTGTTGGAGAGAAGCATTTAAACCTATATTCATTTGTTTGGAATTAATGTTCCACACTTCAAAGTTTTCAAAAACATGACATAACCACTCGACTAAAATTGCAGAGATTAGTTTGATCAGGCATTTTTGTGCCTCTTTAGTCAATTTTGGCTTATGGATATTTCTTGTCTTGTTCACGCCATCGTGACAGCTTTATTAAATCTAAGAAGCTGTTCTGTGAGTAGATTACTTAATTGCGTTCAGGGGCCTTATAGCCATAGTCAACGCTGCAACAGCATACAGCAGCACTGGATTTACCAAACCAGTGGAGGAAGGATTCAGAGTATGGCTAGGACATCAATTTATCGACCGCTGTAGAGAACAGCCATGACACTGAAAAGTAGAATTTGTTTTTTTTTTTTGTGTGTGTGTGTGTGTGTGTTTCTTTCTTTTCTTTTTGCATGCTGGAGCACTTTGTGCATTGATCTGTTATCAGAAACTCCAGTCCTGATTTTAATTTACACAAACAGTACTCAGTTGCCCTGTGAGCTGCTGGTGAGCACACTGGAGTGCTGGCACTCATGGAACCCGCCATCAGAAACACTGTTTTTTGTTTTTCACAGTAGACATAATCTGCTGCCTGTTTTGCTTGGAGGTCTAACTGCGTTTTTTTTTCGATAATGTTGCTAGGATATATTTTGATGGAAATGTGAATGATTTACAAAACTGGGGGATCTGAATATTAGAGGCAGGTGTGTTGGATTTCTTTAGGGTGGTAGATCTCCTAGACCAGGATTTGGCACCCCTACACTACAGAAACAATTAGGGTTTTTATTTTATTTTATTTTATTTTATTTTACTTTATTTTATTGGTAAACATAGATAATGAATAAATTTCACTGCTTTGATTTTCTGTCTACATCATGTAGCAGACCATCCTCCACTGGCAAGCTCTGTTTTAAGAGGTAGTGAGCGCAAGAGATAGTTAGTAGAGGTTTTACTCTGCTTAAGGTGTTTAGGAGCTTTCTATACATTTATAATAATATGTGTATATGCACTTTTAAATTTAATGTAAACAGTAAAAGGTTTACAGTTCTTTCTGGAAGCCCTGCAACTCACAGAGTATATTTTAAAGCACCAAAGCAACAACAAGAATGCCCCAGTCCCTAATCCTCGGGGAAGCTGTGACACTGTTTTGATTATTCCTGATTGAAGCTTAAAAGAGTGTCAGATACAGTAACCTTGTTCTTCCTTTGCATATTAAGTATGTTCATTAATTGTTAGTTGATAAAGTCCACACCAGTAAATTAATGTCTTGCCCCTTGGGCCATGTCTTCATTAACAGTCTTCCTTTGGTGCTAATTTAGGTATTTCCAACACCCACTCTCTGTTTGGTCAAGCTTAGATCTTCACCTGTTGACTTCAGTAAGATATTCCTAGAGATACATTACAAAGCCCTTTTTTCTCCACCCATTTCCTCCTTAGAGATGTGTTGCCTCAGACTTCAAATGGTGGCTCAGATTTTGTCAGCTTTGTTCTTGTCCTATATGTGAGCGTGTCTGAAATGCATTCTCTTTTGGACATGCTATCCCTGCTGCAAGCAAAGGCTGCCTGAGCCTCCATGGTATTCTGTTCTTTTCTTTATGCCTCTTTGTTTTTTTCCACTCTATATCTAAAGTGATGCCTTGATATTGTTAAACACTAACCTCCTGCCCTCCTCAGAATTCTCTGATAAAGTGGCAGATGAAGAATCCCATCCCCCAAAGCAAGACACACCTGCATGCATACCAAACAATTTCATGCATTTAGCCCCTTGTTTTCATCCAAAGAATACCTATAAGGCCTGTTTCTCTTTGCACTTCAGTAGTTTGTGTCTGTATATTGCATTCTGAGTGCTGTCACATCTTTCTTGGTGGCAGACACACACATTTGGTTATCAGGCGTGTTCTCCAGGCCTGTGTGAGGCATTGTGTCACTACTCTGAACGCACATGTGCAATGGCATTGCCTCCTTACTGCTGCTCCTTGCTACCTCACATCAAATGAACAAGAGCCTGAAGAAAGAACATTCCATTGAGGTTCCTTTACTTCTCGCTTTGCCTTTTCAGATAGTCTGCTCATCCTTAGTTTTATGTCTCAGAGGTAGATTTTGTAGCTGTATGAAGAGAGCACTACTCATGTATCACTGACAAACTGATTGACCGAAATGATGATTTCATGCACATGACACAAGATTTAGAAAGGCTAAAATCTACATTTTGCTCGTTATATCATACAAGTTATTCATTTTTCAGCATTTGAGAGAAAAGCAGAAAACATGTATTTAACAGATCATTAAACAGAAGTCTTAACAGCTAAATATAATATCATTTGATCAGCATTTATTGTGTACACCGTTTGCCTTTATTGCAGCGTCCATTCTTGTCAGAAGACTTGCATTCAGATTTTCAAAGAAATCTGCACAGAGATTTTTCTACACCTCCAAAGTTCAGTGTTACAGTTTGGATGCACTTTCTTCTTCTGATAATCCAAGTAAACTCCCAGTTACACATCTCAGATGTCCAGTCCAGATGTTCATGTATTCTAATGCAAATGCTCTTCTTTTTTATCTAATTCCTTTTTTTTTTCAGTAAAGGCTTCTCAACAGCTACACATCCTTTCAGACTCATAGTGTTGAGTTGTCTTCTCACAGTGGAAGGATGAACAAAAATACAAACAAGAGTGGAGCTTGATTTTCTCCTCTCTCTCAAAGATGAAAGCTTTAAGATCTTTATCTTTAAAAATAATTTTAACTCTAATTTTTTCGCTTATTGTCTGTTGACTTTCCACTTCCTTATGCAAGCGGATTATATCATATCTAATCTCTTCACAACTATCTCCTAAAAAATGAATAACTTATACTTATTGTCTGTTTTGAACAGAAATTAAATTTATGAGGGGTTCTGTCTGACTGCTGCATAGTACTGTAAATGATCTCTTTTCTGATTGGTTGCGCTGTATCGTGCCTTATTCAAAAAGCAATCTTGGCTGACATATGTAGTAACAACGCTCCTTATCACATCAATGTGAGCAGCTAAACTACTGTAGGCTAAATGGGCAGTACTATGTAAATGTGTTCATGGTTGTGACATCAGAATGATCATTTTCCATATATGGGCTGTGTGGACTCTTTTGTATAAGATTTCCATAATGTGGACCCTTAGATCTTGAGAACTGCTGTAATACACTGTAGATGCGTCAGTCTGCTTGCATTAGGGATTTTAATTAATGCCACTGTCAGTCTAATTGCCACTTTTTCTTTCTGTCAAACTCAGGATGATTAATTGATCACCAGCTCTGGCCTCATTATGATTGCCACTGGAGGTCTTCTTCGGATCTCAGCCAGACGCCAAGACTCCCTCCGTGCCAAAAACCGAGCGGAAAACAAGCGCAAGAGGAAAGCCAAAAAGAAGAGGAAGAATGAGGTGGTGGTGGTAAAGGGCAAACTGAAGCTTTGCTCCATCTCCGGTCTGGTTGCTGCAATTGGCATTCTTGTGCTGCTTGTCGGGATTGCCTTGGCAGTGCTGGGATATTGGCCTAAGGAGAGTCCATTGTACCCAGGGATAACGACAGCTAAGGGCTTACAGAAACTAGAGAGAACCGGTAATACCAGAGGACCTGAGTCAGTGAACAGAACCACAAATGGTAAGCTTGTTCATCAACTAGATAAAGACCTAATAAGTTCAAATCGTTCCAATGTTACAGCTGAGGATTCACCAAAATTAGGGGCCTTTGCTGAGTTTTTGAAGAGACACTTGTATTCAGACAAACTAAAAGTATTTGGACCTTTAATTATGGGCATTGGGATCTTCCTGTTTATTTGTGCCAATGCGGTGCTGCATGAAAACAGGGACAAAAAGACAAAAATCATCAACCTTAGAGACATTTACTCAACCGTCATTGATATTCACAGCTTAAGAACCAAGGACAATGCATCACTCAATGGATTTGTAAACTATGCGCAATCAAAAGGGGTAGAAGGCAAACCAGGCTCCATATACAGTGCTGCTATGCTAGCAAAGGGCTCCTGGTCATCTTCAGGCTCCTTCAAACAGGACCAGGGCAACCTATCCCCATCCAGAAGGTCATCCTGTGACGAACTGCAAGACTTAACTGTGGATAGGCATGTCTTCCCAGATACAGTGTTTAGCATCTACAGAGAGCATGATAGAACCACCAAATCAGCACCAGAGCCCAAGCAATGGGCGACCAGAACCACCTCAGTCAATGCTTTCACGTTACCAATGGTCAAGCTCAACCACAGGGCAGGAGAAAACAGGAGGGGTTCTGACAAAACTGGGGAGGTAAGAAGTGAATGTTTGGATGCAGAAGCTATTCGCCGTCACCTGGAGTCTCTTGCGGCATCTGGGAGCATTACCAAAGCCAAAGGGGAAACTGTTCAAACTCGAGCCGTCCTTTCCCAGGACTCGGTGGAGGTTTACAAGAGCAGTGGTAGCCTGCAGGGGATGCCGCATATCTCTCTTCAGGGCTCACAGGTACAACTGCTTCCTGCCTCACCTGGTCCCAAGGTCACAGGCTCTCACCTTTCCCTCAGCGCCCTCTCAGACTACTCCAGGTCCATCGACTTGGGAATCTGCCCATCCACCCCCACAGACTGGCACACCGAGAGATCCAGACGACTCAGCTGCCCTCGATTGGAGGGCCTGAGCAGTGGGGGTTATACCAAACTTGAGGGCCTTGGTGGAGAGTCCTTTGAGTCCACAGATGTGGTAACGTTTAGTCGGGGGAGTTCTGCTGATGCTTTGTCCAGAGGACAAATTTCAGAAACTCCACTCTTCCAGGATGAGAGCAGCTCCAGTGGTTTGATTAGGCAATACTCAAAGAAAGAAAAACTCATCATGATTTCCCAATCTGACAATACTTTGGAGGACATAGAAATGGAGAGTGTTGAATTGTAACAGGACCAGTGGACTGGATCAGTGAACTTGCATTACAAGTTTAATAGGCAGATTATATACACGAGTCATTACAGCAATGGATATTTTTCCATTTGTCATTAGAAGTGGATCTGTTGACTTACAGAATAAAATGCATACTGTGGGAAATCATTTTTAATGCCCTTCCAAATCAAGTTTGAAGTAACAAAACTTGCATCAGTGGGAAGAGCGAGTTAAAACATACTGACTTGGCAGGTCCAAAGACTCTGAAAGCACTCTTATAATTGCTGTTTGCTGAAAGAGCAAAGCAAATACTAGAGGAAGCCAAAAAGGCTCAGTTTTGAAGTATGATAGCACAGGTGTGTCTCTACTAGGTCAAACTTTTATATTTGCAGTAGAAATACCATATATATGTGGCTGTTCCACCTGTGTGTTTCTCTAGTTAATTAATGGAGAGTTGCTGTGTCAGCGGCATGTATTTTATACTGTAGTGTCCTTGCACTTTTTTTAATTAACCAGATTAATGATTTTTTTTTAAACGTTTGACCTGATACATAGCAATATCTTATTTGAAATGTTGATTGCCTGTTGGAGAAGCATTATGTTTGCATTTTGCCCTAAAAAAGTCAGATCATGTTTTTACTACAGTTGTATGTTCCTGGTTTCTAAATGTCTTGCTTGTTTAGAAATTGCTGTAACGGCTTTTGCCCGAACAAATTCCATCCTTTAGCACAATGGCCTGCTCCTTTCAGTATCGTCACAATCCATGAGCTTCTATTCAAACCACCCTGATTCCATTAAGTGTTTCTGGACACAGAAGTCCTGTGTGAGTGTGTTTTCTGTGACTGATTAAATGTGGGTAGTGCTGAATCACGCTCGATTAAAGTACACGCTTACATCAGTGTTCCATGTATTAAAAAATGATCAAATGCAAAATCATGATGACCATCATATGGTGCACTCAATTCTGAAATATAAACTAGAATCCTAAAACTAATGTGTATGCAGTTTTTTCATTGTGATTATTCATGCAGTTTACTGTTTAAATGCTGGGAAACTGAATATCACCACACAATAGGTTGGTTTAACCTGATGTTAAGAGGTAAATTATGCGCAAACTAATTCTGAGCTGCCCTCCAAAACAACTAAAAACTACATCTTTTAGTGATATTAATGGTTAAAGATTAAAGATGTCATACAGTGTGATAGGGGTGTAATGAAACAAAGTATTCAATTTGAGATGACATGGTGGTGTTTTTGATACAGCAAATTAGGGAGTGCCTGAAAATGTGCATTGTGTTCATGTGTTACACTTTTTTAAAAATCTATAGAAACACTGTAAAAAGTCCGGCCGCCAGGTTGCCAAAAAAAACCTGTTATTTATGAGTAAAAGTATGTTTTCTCAGTTATGGTCTGTAAAATTACAGTCATTTAATTAATTAGAAATACTGCTTCTTACTGTAATTTAACAGTTTGACCAGTTCAACTAGTTATTCTGACATACAGTATTTTACCATATTAACAGCAATATGCATTAAAATAAACACGAATGTCTGTGAAATAAAGTCATAAAGATCATTTGTTTTTGTAAATTTACATTCTATTTCTTTAAATTCACAACAGCAGTGTTAAAATACAGTATATATACGTATACTATATTATTTACATTTACCTTGCATTGCCTTTAACCTTTTTTCCCCAAAAAACAGGACTTGACCATTCAATTTTACAGTACCTTGACAGTGAAAGTATTTTTCCTTTTTTGCTGTGTAATGTTAATATGTTAATGTTTACACCATTCTCACAACATGCATGTATGCATGCACACTAATTAAAATGCACGTTTCCATATTATTTTCATATGATTTTCAATTCTGAGATCAAGATTGAGTTCATTTTTTAACATTTTGCATGATAAAAATGATCCTACAGAGCTATAATTATGAACTGCACACATAAATAAAAGTTCTCCAATAGACCTAACAGAATAAACCCCCAAAATCACAACCTCTAGAGTTTCGGACTGGCTGAATGCAGAATCACAGTTTGGTTTACTGATAGTGGTTTCCATGGAAGATGATAAATAAAAGACCCATAGGAGAGAGCGAGAGGAGAGGGCATATCAATACAGTTTTGAATTCCGATAAACTTTTGTGAAAAAATTGTAATCATTACAGCCAGTCTAAGCAGAGCTATTATTTAGTTTGTTTTAAATGAATTACAGTGATTACTGTTAAAAGGACATTGTTCAATACGAAACACTCAATTTAATATACTGAGGTATCAAACAATACATTCAACAGACTGAAGCAAATAAAGTACTTCATTTAATACTGAAAATCTTGTAGGAAATATAACAACACAATGAGTGCAGACCTTGCAAAACTATCCTCTTTACTGAGGATACCAAGAGCAGGAGGAAAAGCACACTCCTCATAAGGGCTTGTGGCTATTACATTGTATAAATATTGTATAATTTTATAATGTTAATTTCTCTACACTCTCAGAAAAAAAGGTAGCAAACTGTCTCTGGGGCAGTACCTCACACTGCCCTCACAGGTACATCTCAGTATCTTTAGTAGGGGACATAATTGTACCATAATCCATTGAAATTATATTTTCTAAGTTGTACTGACTCCACAGACCCTGACTCATCTGCAGGCTTTTTATTTTGTTGTTCTGTTTTAAAACATTAGGATATGAAAAGATAAAAATACATACTTTTCCACTAGGAAAACTTATTTAAGTTACACAAATTGGACCTTAAAACCACTGTTGTACCTTTGAGGGAACATTTACATTGTTTGTACCTTGATGAACGAAAAATGTATCGCACAGTACCTTTACTTCTAACAGCGTAATAAAATAGATGGAAACATTAACAGATTAACATAAGGCACATTTTCAGGCACTTATTAGTGCTGTATCAAAGACGACACTGTATCATACCACACCAAATTATTAATATTCTTACACACGTGTTCTCTAGACTTGCTTCACATTTCTCAGTGTAGACTGGCCTGTGTGGAGATGGAGCCTGAGCCAGAATCTGTAACAAGAGGCTACTGAAATGAAATGTGATTACGGCAATGACTTTAGAGACTTGAATAGGCTTGTTTGCTCTGTCACTCCACAGCTGCATGCTGCAGGCTAACTTTGATTTTCATAACAATGTCTGATGTGAATTAGTCAGTAATCATTGTAACTCTGACTGAAAACGTAAAGACAGGATCTAAAACTTTATTTACAGTATTATATTTTTTCATTTCATTTCATGAAAGTGACTACTGGACCTTAAAATATCAGAACAGACACAAAATAATTGCAGTTTAAAGTGCAGTCACAATATTGGTTAGTAAATTGCAGTGAGATGTTTTCCCTAAATTGTTCAACCCTAGTTGCAGAGCTGTTGCTGTGTTCTTCACACCTGATACAGCTTAAAGTTATGATGTCTCACTGGTTCTGATGCATTGTCACCCTTCACTTGTACTCCCCTCAAATGTAAGTGCAAAAATAACTGCAGAGTCGTAAATAAATAAATAAACAAACAAATAAATAGATAGAAAGTTTCTTCTTTAGTATCTGTTTCTAACTGATCAGCTATCAAGTGCCACAGTAAAGTGATTTTGCGCCTGCATGTTTTGATAATATTTCTCAACTCCAGTGCGTTGCGAGGGCCTCTGTGGTGCTTTCTGGCAACCGCTGATTCCTGCAGGGAACAGGTCAGGAAAGTACTGTGCTCTGTGTCATATTCACTACCTATTTGGAAAGGAGGTTTAGACAGGTCATATTTAAATCTGAAACCAAAGAATCTGTTTTATTTAGAAAATCTCTGGAGTAAGAGCATGAGAGTAGAGAGGCTCAGCCCCAGTGCAGGGGAGCTGACAGCGCTGAGTAACTCTGAATGCTTTGTTTAACTTTGGTTCCCCATTTTTCTTCTTCTTTCTTCTCCTTTTCATTCTTTCCAAACCACTATCCCATGCAAGTCTAGGCCAAACTGTGCTGTTCTTCCAGGTCCGCTTTTCTTCACGGGTCTATCTTGCAGCAAAAGCAGAACGTATTTAACAAACATACAAGTCTCAGTGGCCTCTCCACCATCCTAATTATATCATATCCTATATGACACTGTGTACTCCACTTTAACTGAAACAGAACACAGTGGTTGTGTCTCAGTTAGGGACTTAGTTTCCTTACGGCTCACAAAATCAGAACTTGGAAATAAACCCAGCAATGGCATCGGCCATTTATCTGGTGCAAAGTGAAGGCAGTGTGGTTTATTCACTGAGAACCAAACAGCTAAATAGTTCCATAGAATTATTTTTATTCTGGGACAGATTTTTGCTCTTTCACATTCTTTTCTGTCCAAACTGTTTCTTATTAATTGCTGTGCTTTTATACTCCATTAAATCACTTCCACTGCACTTTTTCTCCTTCCCAGTGGTGCCGCCTCACTTCCACAAGTGATGGGCTGAAACTCATTGCTTCCAAAAACAGAATAAAACAAAAACTTGGCGTGACTTGGCTAAGCGAAAGTGTGCTAGGCCGCTGTCTGTAGGAGCCACTGACAAAATCTCACTTTTATCACTATAGCCTGCATTATAACTTTAATGTAATAACATGTCAAAACAAACCTTTTCATGAACGGTGTCAGTGATGTGTGTTTAGACCCTGGAGGCTTCACTGAGTTCCTCTCATTTAGCTAAATTTTCCACAACGTATGTAAAGAACACCAAATCCTAGCTTAGCAATGGAGCAGTAAGAAATATTGCAACTGACATTTAGTAAATACAGTGTGGAAACATAAACTGTGACCAAACACATAAATGTTAGATCATTTACCAGATTCGGAAACTGGGCAGTGCTCTCACTAAACATCATGTCATTTTTGGGAAAGGACCCGCCCCCGAGCTAAAATAGACCTTTTAAAGGGAAAATTCCACCATGTTTCAAAAATTCTACACATCTAAATCATTAATATGTAAACAAAGTCATGCAGAGCGGCTTAATCTGAAATGCTTCATTCTAGAGAAACTTACTGAGTCAGAGCTGTTCACAGTGGTGGTGATAGGAACCAAACATCGACGAGTTTAACGCTGCTCACAGAAAACAATTAAGGGGCTCATATCATGAAAAATGGAACATTTTATTTAGCATATCACTGTTGTCGGAACAAAATCTTGTATCTCCAAAATGATAACTTTACAGGAGAAGGGAAAAACTATGGAAACAGAGTTTTTTCTAAGCAATTTGGGCCGTTTCTTTTGGTCCATTCATCATGAAATTTACACACAATGTAAAGGTCAACAGACATTTTCAAATTAAGTCAAAAACTGAAAAACTTTAGAAATGGAGACACGGTTTTGTTCCCACAGAAGCGATGTAAACTTTATTAAAGTTTCAAAACATATTATTCACTCTCCAGTCCATAAAGCCTGTTACTTCCACCTATTCAACCTACAACAATTTAGCCCTACCCACTGAGGCTGAAGTTATAAGGAGTGTTTCAGCCAACACTTTTTGAATGAGGCACAACATAAGGAAACCAATCAGAACAGAGATCATTTACATATATATCAGTCTTAAAGGCACAGAAACCAAAACAGTCTGTTTGATTCTAAGGCATAAAGAGAGGTTGGAAAGTATTCTTGTATAAATGAATTATGATTGGATTTGGTACATAAATGTACACAAACATCTTAAGTGGTCCTCAGGGAGAAAAAATAAAGTACAAGTAAAATGACCCTTTATATGAAATGATTACAAATACGCTGCCTGATAGCTGACACATTATTTTACAATAGTTTTGAGTACGTTTTCAGATTGAAAAGTGTTTTAATCCATTCGTGATGGATAGAGACATGAAGCATGTTCTAAGACAAAATAGTACCCAAAAGAAATGTATCCAACCTCGCCGAGTGATGTTGTTTACATCTCAATGATTTAATTATGCAGAAGTTTTGAAAATTCCCCTT